GCCAGCTGGGTGATCTTGGGCCAGTCACTCCCTGTCCTAGGAAGAAGGAAATAACAAACCACTTCTGAAAAACCTTGCCAAGAAAACTGCAGGGACTTGCCCAGGCACTCTCTGAGAATTGGACACTACTGAACAGATTAAAAAAAAAAAAAAATTGGGCAAGAAAGAAATATAGCACTTATTATAGTAATCACATTTTAATTTAAGAAATAAAACAATAATAGGACCTTGCAAATTCATGAAATAAAAAACTTTTCACTAGAAATAAACAATGAATTAAATTTAAAACTATTTTAAATGGGAAGTAGCTTAATTAATATTATATAATTCCTGAAATCTGTTTTACTTTTCAAACTCATTTTCTGTTTATTTTTAATTGCTCTTTATAGCAGCAAGTACAGAAAATTCTGACTTCGCTGCTGGATTTTTTTAGGCACAGTAGGAACAAATTGTGACAACAATCCATGATATTTGTATAGTAAAAGCTGCAGTCCTGTTAGAACTTGCTCCTTTTCTGCCTGAACAAGCCAGCTCTCAAGTTCTAGCTGGGTCTGACTCAGGTCCGATTAGCCAAATTAACAAATGGTCTGCACACACGTAGGCTGCATTTCCAACAAGTCTGCAGCACAAACCCCTACCAATGGAAAGGGGGGAAATCATTAAGGCACCTCTTGGATGAAGAGTAAGTCACTTTGTAGCACTTGCTGTCACCCTACCCCACCTGGTACCTTCTCACATGTCAGCACACAGTCAGTTAAGGGGCTATGGCAGTAAAGCAATGTTATGCAATGACAAGCATGTCTAGATACATTTTGCATATTTCAAATTACCTGGATGCAAGGCCAGAGGGAGGGCATGCTTCAATTGGTGACCACTTGATATGACCAGAAGGACCACCAGGGCCACTAGATCTAGCTGTCCAACTGGTTGGGAGTTGCCCAAGCACTGATGGACAGGGCAACTCAGTTCTTTCTATGTCATCTTTTGGATTACTGGAAGGATTGTACAAGGAGGAAGGGATTAATGTCCACCAGTGTGCTGTTCTTGAGCAAAGGGAACTCTTTCCTGAACAGTCACCTTCTGCTTTCCCTCACCTTATACAAAGATAGCTTGATCCCTCCTACTGGTTATGGGCAGCCTTTTGCTTCACTGATCCCATGTTTGCAAAAGGAATCAGCATCTTTATCAAGTATAAAATGAAGTTCAAAGTGTTATGGGGGAGGGGGGTAGCAGAGGTCACCAAATGTGAGGATGGATTCCAAGGGGTCCCCACCACCCAGTTGCTCTGCTTGAGGGTCTGGGAAGCTGAGCTGGTGGTTTTTTGTACCTCTTCAGTGACCTTTCAGCCAGACTGTCACCCATTAAGCCTTTCCAGCCCTGCTCTGCATCCCTTCCTCACCAGGCCTCAGGGTTCCATCTTCTCTAAGCAAGCCCCCCACTGAAGGACCTTAATGATTCTGGAAGAAACTCCAAAAGAGAAGCAATAAAGCCTTTTTATGCCATCTGGGGAGAGCCACAACCATCCCTGAGAAGGTAAGCAGGCCTAGCACATCCCCAAAAGCCATTACCATATGCAGAGCCAAAGGCCTTTAGGTCTTCTTACCTATTCCTTTGCAAAACTAGCAGTTCCCCCAAGTCTGCTTTCATATATAGCCTGTTGTCTGTACTGGTTGGCTTCATGTGTAATAGCACTCATGCCAAACATCAAACCAGAACAAATAGTGCTCAACAATTTTGTAAAAATACATAAACATAACTATAATAAAAAAATACACGCAACAACTAGCAAACAAGTACAAATAAATAGTGAACAAAAGCTGCTCTAAAGACAGAAAACATATGGGCTGCATTTGCATGACACCTTGACATCATCAGCTCAGTATTAACCATGGTCAGGAAAGTAACCTTCTGATCATCTTGTATAAGGTGGTCCTGATCACCATGGGTTACAGCTTCCATTTCCTTTATTGTTGAGCTTAGATATCCCTACCACCACTTTCATTTCTTGATTTTTAACTTTAAAAAAAAAGCAGGAGGGATAAACATGGTTGCCTAACTAGGGTCAAAATCATTGAGGTAGAATGTTGAATGACCAGAGATATTCCCTTATATAAGATGATCAGAAGGTTATTTTCCTGACCATGGTTAACCATTCATTACAATAGTTAATCTCTTGTGGTAAGTAGCAAAGATGGAACAGCATTGCTGCTGATGTTCAAACAACTCTACTTTGTGGTTGTTCTAGCAGTTCAGCTCTATACCTAGCTGAACAATAAAGGCCATTGGGACCAAGTAATGTTGCCATAAAACAACCCACAGCTTTATATTTTGGTTAAGGAAAACTCCACTTTAACCATAATCTGACTCATAGTCAAGGTTTAGATAAAACAGTAGGCCTAATTATACACATCACATTGTTTCTGGCTGCATTTAAATGGCACAATCTAGTCCCTATTCAAAATTGCATTTCAAATCATTTTCAGAACTAGTCTAAACTTCTAATTTTTTTTTTACTGGGCAATTACCTTTTCTCATTTACAACATTTTTTGTGCTTATGAAAAATCCATTTAGTAAGAAAATACAAAATGTAATTAATATGTATATTAATATATAAAATATATTAATTTTGATTGTTAATGTCAGGATCTCACTGTCCCGAAAGACCTGAGATTTGTAAAATTAGAAAAATTTCCAGGAAATGCATGAGAACACCTCTCAGTTGAAGAGACCACTATATTAGCTATTTATTATCTGATTCCTTAGAAATAAGTGAAGAAACTTAAAGTGAAGAAAATTAAGCAGGTATTGTTAAATATTAATTCTAATAGCTCATTATCACTGTGAACTAAAATAACTGAAGGCAATTTTGAATTCTGATTTACAGGTCACTGATGTCTTTGGCTTCCTCAAAGCTTTTGTGTGTAGTCTCACCCTCTCCTCAATTGTCACAATTTTTGATAAATTAAAATTAAATGCAGTGATTTAGAGCTGGAAAAACTGAAGGAAGATGGATGAGGTGAAAATCAATTTATGGATGTGGGGTTTTCTTTGGATATATTAACCTTTTGGTCTGCCCATACTCTCTTTTCTCCTTAAGCTTAAAATTATTCAACAGCAATATGAGCTCTTGACCTTAAAAAGGTTATACATTTATGGCATGTGCCTGGAAGTGAATGCCAAGCTAATTTTATTTTCTAGTCTTCTAGTTCTTTCAAAATCACCTGCTACAAATGGATTTTAGTATTATTCCTTTCATCTATTTAAACTTTGTCACCTGCATTTTACTGTGGTATTATCATGAAACTGAATAGGTTTATATTTAATTGAGGTCTTTTACCACTACATAACATGCAATAAACATTCTAAAAATAACACATTATTTATAGCCAGAGATATAACTAATGGCTGCAGAGAGTTGGTTATGTTTGCATTATATAATAAACCACAAATTAGCCAATCACATCTGAGTTTAGTACATGAATGTATGGTTAAAAGTAAAGAAAAATCAGTATTAAACAGCCTGCATCTTAAGCTACCTTTTTCAGTTTCATCCTCTTAGTGATTTAACGATTACACTGGATTTCATTACAGGGCTGTCATAAATTATTTTCTCTCGCTATTGACTCCCCACCTGCAAAATGAACATAATAGCTCTGGATTACATGACAAGCTTAACTGCTTCACTCCCCATCCCCTTCACATTTGAGAGGAAAACACTGATGATGTTTGCTCTTCGGGTAATGAAATGTCTGCAAGCAAACAACCAAGGACTCCGCAGGAAAACACGTGCTTACCCAGAGTTTACTCAATTTTCGGGATTTGCATAATATACAAAGCCATTAACTAATCACGGGCTGAGTTCACACAAGACCAAATGTAGACTGCTGGGTAAAACCAGCCAAAGTGGCCTATTTACAATTCAGGGAATTGTGAGAACCGAGGTAATTAATTAAGTATATCATGGATCAATTAGCCGTAGGGTAACACATCGTGGGAAGAAGCAAGTGGCCTATTTACAATTCAGGGAATTGTGAGAACCGAGGTAATTAATTAAGTATATCATGGATCAATTAGTCGTAGGGTAACACATCGTGGGAAGAAGCAGA